AATATATAATTCGTAAATAAACTTAAAACATTGAAAAACGTTTGGTATTGAAATGAAACAACTGTTTTGAGCACGTCATACATCAGCAAAACATGTCAAATCACAAATAAAATTTATGAAAAACTGAGAATTAACAGCAAATCTCAACAGAATCAACTTACACAGAATCACATACACAAACACATTTTCAGCGGCTTTAAATAAAGAAGTCGATACTTGTAGTACACAAAAACAAACTGTTGTGGGAATCAATCCTCAATATATATTGAGCGTCAAAGTAAGTTATTTCAGAAAAATTCAATCTTGAGATGTATCTTTATCATATTTTGAAACGTCTTAAATTATCGTCTTTATATTATGGCATAGGTAACTTGATTGCATGTTACTGGTTTAAGCAAACTTTCGAACTAAATAAACACTCTAGGATTTGTTGATAAGTTATTATTAAATGACACTACAATTTAACTTTCATTTTTTTACAATGCTTTTAAGCATGTTTACCCATTTGAGGTAGACAAGTTATATAGATTACATTATTCTGAAATAGATGAACTAAAATATTGAATGGTAACAATTGCAGTAAAAATCACAATATAGGAATATCACTTTTATGCTTTAGTGCTCAGACTTCAAACAACAGCACGTCGTCTCTCAAGGTGGCCGTCAATGCATGAAATGGGATTGAAAGATAACGATGTGGTCCATTTCTTATACGAGTTGTATACACCTTAGTGCAAGCTGCACAAACAATCAACTTATGAGGAACGATTTGTTCGCGAATTCAGTGTCTGGTTAGATTCTACCACTATTATTTAAGGTGCCAAGGCTCGAAAATGATTATTCCGCACAACATAACAATATTCTGTTGTTGAGATATGTTATCTAAGTAACAAATATATATAACGACATCTTCGTTATCTAACTGATTTTTAGATATCCTCGGTTACTGGTGAAAGTGGAGTTTGCACCGGACACACAACTATGAAAAAATACAAACGTCTTCCTCCCCTAGAGCGATGTGAACTTAAGACAGCCAGCCAAAGATTTAGATTGTATGAACACGCCGTCGGTAATCAATTTTGTTATAACTCGTCCCTCCCATAAGCGCCCTATCAAGTTTTACTAATCTAGGGAAAATATGCAAATAAGAACCAAGAACAGTGAAAAAATTGATCCATCGTGTGTGTCTCTAGCTTCTTAATTCTCTTCAGTTGTTCTGAAAATCAGGGAACATAAGTCAAGGCTCATATAGAAATACGCTTGTGTATAGCGAGGAAACTAATCGTGTTTAATAAATTGTTATTTGTTTGTTTATAAACCGTAAGAAATCAGAAAGAATAAAGACTTTTCTGGGATTCTTTAAAAATGTGTTGATATGTTTTGTGACAATTGTGTGTATGTGAACACATCAAAAATCAATATTTTCAGTTTTATCGATATAGACAGATTCAAAATCACAATGCAGCTGAATTGCTATAGAGTACGCAAAAAATGAAGAAGGATATGCTGAGAAATCGTCTTAGACTCTTCTTTTTTTTCCAAAGCTCTCTAAAACACGATTTTCCAGAACTCATCGTTTTAGCCTGGTTGTCAGGAAACAACCAAATTTCGCCTGGTTGTTTAATATCGAGGTCTCTATTTCAGTCGAGAGGATTGTATTTTTCGATTATTTAATGGGAAAATCAACAAATGTAAGGTTCTAGTAGATTGATGTTGTTTACAAGCGAGGGAGAAAGTGTTTAACGGAACGCATTGCATCTGCGAGCATACTATTGTAACAATTAATACCCACATTCACTGAGGAAGATGAAGAATCCATGAATTTCACCTTAAGTCAAGCTTTCAAGCTCTAAATGAGTCAAGCTAAAGGCGTTTCATACTAGATCATTTCCAAATTTATAATGTAATTGAGATCGTTTTAGGCAGGTTCATTTTTTTCAGGAGGAGGAACAAGTGCCGATGGACTGGAAAGAAGGACACCTCGTCAAGATTCCAAAGAAAGGAGATCTGAGCAAATGTGAAAACTACAGAGGCATAACACTACTGTCAATACCAGGGAAAGTCTTCAACAGATTGTTGCTGAACCGGATGAAGGATGAAGTAGACGCCCAACTTCGAGATCAACAAGCTGGATTCCGTAAGGATCGGTCGTGCACAGACCAAATTGCAACACTACGGATCATCGTCGAACAATCAGTTGAGTGGAACTCATCACTATACATCAACTTCATTGATTATGAAAAGACATTTGACAGTGTAGATAGGAGGACATTATGGAAACTTCATCGACACTATGGAGTTCCTAAGAAGATTGTCAATATTATCCGGAACTCATACGACGGACTACAGTGCAAAGTAGTGCATGGAGCACAGTTGACAGATGCATTCCAAGTAAGGACCGGAGTCAGACAAGGCTGTCTACTCTCTCGCTTCCTCTTTCTTCTGGTGGTCGACTGGATTATGAAGACCTCGACATCTGAGGGAAAACACGGAATACAATGGACAGCTCAGAATCAATTAGACGATTTGGACTTCGCAGATGACCTAGCCCTCCTATCACGTACACACGAACAGATGCAGATGAAGACAGCCAGTGTAGCAGCAGTCTCTGCATCAGTAGGCCTCAACATACACAAAGGGAAAACCAAGGTCCTCAAATTTAAAGCGGAGAACAGCAGTCCAGTCACCCTTGATGGCGAAACTCTGGAAGATGTAGAATCCTTCACATATCTGAGAAGCATCATCGATGAACAAGGAGGTTAACATGCAAAGCAAGGGCCGCTTTTCTACATTTGAAGAACGAATGGAACTCATAACAGCTGTCTATCAACCAAAATCATTGTGAGGATTTTCAGTACCGACGTCAAGGCAGTTCTACTGTACGGAGATGAAACCTGGAGAACTACTACAACCACCGTCAGGAAGGTGAAAGTATTTATAAATGGTTGTCTACGCAAAATACTCAACATCCATTGGCCAAATACCATCAGCAACAGTCTTCTATGGGAGGGAACAAACCAGCTTCCAACTGGAATCTTGAAAGGAAGCGGCAAAAAGGAAAGCCAAAAGACACATTACGTCGGGAAATAGAAGCATATACGAAAAGGATGAATAACAACCGAAAAGAACTGGAAAGGCTTATCCAGGACAGGGTTGGATGGAGAATGCTGGTGAGCGGCCCATGCTCCTTCACGAGGAGTAACAGGTATAAGTAAGTAAGTCATTTTTCGCAGGATTCTGGCGCGCTTTCGAAAATGGAGGTGCAGGGGCGTTAGTAGTTTTATGTCAACTACGGAAGCTATGGGCAGTTCAGGATACTTATCGGGCATCAGTTGAAAGAACAGATGGATCATATGTTTGATCGTGGCGAGGCATAACGTATAGCCAGAACATGAAAGTCTTCATACAGCTAGTTAAACATTACCTTCAGATAGCATCGACGTCCACATATGAAAAAGCAAGACCCAGAAATACAACACGGAGAACGCCAATCCGATCAAATTTGATAAAGAGACACTGTCGGATGTGATAGGTTTTTTATGCCTTGGCCGCATCAGCAATAAACAAAGTGGATATAATTCAGACGTTCCAATTTAGGTGTGAGTTCCGACACAATAAGAACAAAATACACAAATATGGGCAAAACTCTGAAGAAGCGAAATTATATCACGTCATGTAAATAAATATATATACATAATATTATGACAAGAAACAAACTCATTGCTTATCGTCTGGAATATCGGAGAATGGTAGGAGCACCACCAAATATTTATTTCGAAAAATTATTCGTGGCACATACTATTGTTTGTTTAGATTAAAGATTATATGCCATGATCTAAAACAAACCTGCATATAAAGGGAGTTGGGACATCTGTTATCAGGTAAACCTGATAAATAAGTTAGGTAAAATGCTAATTCTAATCACAGTAGCAGACGCTGGCTCTGTGTAACCATATGTTTGAATTTACACACCTCTGACTAAAAATAATTAAATATCGACCCCTGTTATAGTTAACTCAGAGTACTTAAACGGTTTCACCGTACAGTTTATCACACTATACGGTGAACAAAATGAACGATATAAATACGCGAACGTCTCATCAATTAGTAGAGGGAAATAGGAAATGTGATATTTACACTGAATAAAAAGATGAACAATCTTATTTTTCAGCTATAACTCCTCCATTCTAACAATAGGCTGTTTCCTGAATATCAACTTCTCGTCTTTGATTTGTACTATCCCCTAGAAGGACTTCTATACGGGTTTTGAAGCTGTTGAGTTGTATTGGCTACAAACAGGTTTTACGAGGTTTTCAGAATTTTTGAAAATTCTCTCGGTTTCTTATGTTATCACCATTATTCATGAACATTATTTTGTTGATGAATGACTGGTCTGTTGCATTTTAACCTTCAGGAACTTTCTAAAATCGTTCAGCAATAAAGCGAATGCGTTTTAGGATGTCTAAGGACTTAAAATGATGCTTCGGATTGAGTACTGAGAGATTTATGATGTCTATGATTTGATCCGCTGCTTTCCCACCCTGAGCCACCTATTCACTCAATTTAGAGTTCACTACCGTTCTTCCATTCCAAAACCTCTCCACATAATTAACTTATTGCCAGCTCAATCTCAAGTATCTTTAAAATTAAAATAAAACTAATGTCCAAACTGTTCTTCTGTTAAATGTTTTGGTAGTATTAAACTTTACACTGCCATGATCGAAAATGGCTAAAGCCCAGAAGCCACAATTCACTTTTCAGAAGTTAATATCAAATACACTGAAACTAATTCAATTAGACTAGTCAACATTTATTAGGGGTCTTCTACAATGGAAACATAGATGGATGATACCAACATCCTTATCATAGTTCTTTCTGTGTCAAAGAAGTCGATATTATTTACTCAATATAAAGTATTGCTATACGAATATAATATAATTTACGAATATAATTGATCTTTGGATTATATATGCATCAGCGAGAACACATTCGACCTTAATCTGGCGGACGCTTTACATTTACGTCGGAAGCTGTAAGAAAATATTATGGTGTGATGATAAGATTGTTGGCTTTCAATGCATTTGGAATGCGTTAAGTGTACTAGCGGTATATCTTTATAAACTCTAATCCAGTGATGAAGACACCGATAATCCATGGTCCCAAACGACACGGGTTGTGAACCAAAGTTCGAAACTGAAGCAGCTACTCCAATTATCATTGCAGTTTTTATTGAATATTCAGTTGAGGCCAGAGACGAAATTTCTTTTTCGTCATTAGTTCATTCGAATACCACAGAAACTCGATATTTTCGTACTCTAAATTCATTTAAACATGATGTCTAGTAAATCTTAGGATATAGGTGGGACGTTCTACTACTAAACTGGAATAAAATGCATTAGAAATTTACTTTTCCAAGGTTTATTGTAAAGGTATTTTTCCGTTTGGCTAAGGACTTCGAAATATAGTATAACAAGACTTCCGGTACTTTGCCAACCATACGACACTTCTACAGCGCATTATTGTCTAATTTGTATGTGTAACTGGCGAAATATCTCATCTGAATTTGTTTTTGCACATAATGTTGAGAGTGAGTTAAGTCATGCTACCCCATGACTTATAGTCCCGTAGTTCGGTATCGCGAACTAATAACTTTATCACAAACTGATCACCGGTTCTGGAAACATCTAGCTGGAAAGGCTTTGATCTATTTAGTAAGTACCTACGATTAGGTTTACTTTGATGATTATTGATCGACTTATTCTTAGAAAAATGAGACCACCAGGAACATTAGTTTTCAAGTCATTGTACAGGACCCCATTGGGGCTTTCTGTAGATTGGGAGAATGTGGAGCCTACCCTAACCTTGGAATTTCGACTATTTAAATATTTAATTTTGTCTATCAATAGCAAATTACCTTTCGTGTTAAGCTTATTGATAAAATCTGTATGATCGGCTCTATCGAAAACTGTAGAAAACTCAAAATACATTACATCCGTCTTCTCTTTTTAATTAACGTCTTAGAGAGAATAATAGTTGAAAATAAATCATTGCGTTTTGCCTTAAGGAGCTGTTCCTGTTAAGTTATTTTATTACGTACATGAATCACGTCCATTTTGACATGTTTAATGTTCATTTTTAATAAAAATGCAAATAGTAAAGATGAGTAAGAGGTAAGGATGTCAACTGGATTATATTCGTTTATGAGGTGAGTTTAAATATGAGTGCATTTGTTCAACCAAATGAAATCTCGTGTAGTATAGTTCTCAGTATACGATACACTCTAGATATTCTAGTACTTCCTAGTTTCTCACACTTCAATATATATATATATATAAATATATATATATATATAACATATCTTTTGCAGGTATTTTAAAATAGCGTTGCTGAAAAATGTGCAGCCCTTTGTATGATGTATTGGAATCCTATGAATCTGGGGTAAGTTAAGTAGAAAAATTACACGAATTGGCAGAAAGTCAAAAAGGGATCTGTTCGAGTGAGTAAGTGGATGGGTTACAGAAATGAGAGTATGACATTTGATGAAATTATGGAACAAGTTGAAGTTGCTTTTGCCGAAAAATTTGGTAATTTGTCTTGTTTCATATGTTAACGTGTGAAATATTTTGGTTTTTTGCTTCATTTTTGTACATTAGAAAGCATTTTAAAGCTTTAGTATTACTTTTCTCTTTTTGTCGCGATATTCAGTTAAAATTGGTGTATTTAAAAGATAACTTGTCTATTTTAAAACCAATACGTTCACTTTGTTTTTGATTAGGATATTGTGATCAGTTTGTTAGAGTATCTAGACCACAAATAGGACCGCTTTAAAGATTGTAGCTTGGTGTTTGACTTGTGGACTTTTCATATACCTTATTGTCTCAGGTTTTTCCCTGGCTGATTATTTACTTCTTACTCTAGTTTTGTACCGCTTATGACTAACCTATGCGCACATTGTAATTTAATAGTTGTGTTGCCGTGTGGTTAAATATTTCAATCATAATAATAAATTAATTTTGACTCATGACTAACTTCAGTACAATAGAGAACTGGTCTGCTTTCTATCTTCGTTATATGGTTGATCACTGAGTTAGAAGGATCTTGAGGACCAATAAGCGTTAATCTTTGTTGATGTTCACTGATCAGTGTGCCAATTGGTAAATAGGTCGTCAGTTTTACTAACGGGTAAACTAGTTTTTATTCAAACTAGAAATCATATAACTACTTTTCTGTCATAACAGCTCAGCTATACGTTAAAATCTAAGCAAGCAATGTTTTGTCTCGACATAACACATCTTTCGATGGCTACATAAATGTATAAAAATCCACTTTGGTTGAAACTACATTATTCTGACTTGTGTTAGTCGTAATACAAATGAAAAAACCAGACAAATCAAAAGCATGCCAAGAGCAGTATATTTAATAGATTTAATTTAATGCGAGTGTTTAAGACTTGACTTGATTGGGTTCATTTTGAATGGTTTTTTGTATACGGATTTTTAATTAGGCTCAAAAGACTGCAATAAATATCCAACTGTTGTGGAAATCAGACCAAGTGGAGGACCTGCTTGCGAATCATTATTCACGGTACTTCGGCACGTGACAGATGATCAGATTGGCATGAAAGCGTGTGGTAAATCACCTCATATTTTCCAAAGCGAATGGCCTAATTTCTCTGTTTATATAAAGTAAGATTTTCATGTATATTATTGGTACATTCCGAAAACTTATGTGTGTAATAAACCCAATGCCCGTGAATAAAATACTTGCATCATACCAGGTGAAACAAAGTTTGAACTCATACGATTGTATAATACTCTTATCTCTGTATGTGTGGTGTGTGTTACCTATGTCTATTGATATAAGTAGTATGTAACACCAATCATAAATTGAATGAGTGGCAGCAGAAGGCCAAGATCGGGTTGACGAGAACAGAAGAGGAAATAAGATGAAGTCGTGAACTGGAAGAATCATAGAAAGTGTGGAGTACAAATGATGGAAATTTGCAAATGAAGTATTCAATGTATAGTTCTCATATTTTGCCAAAATATTCTGTAGTTTTGTATTAAAAATACATTGGTTGTCCCCACTTGTGTTCTCGTTCACAACATCTTCCTATCAACGGAGCATTTGTATAGGACCTTGGAGTTACTGGATATTTCTGTATTTTTCGAAAATATAAATACTGAATTTCTCTTAGAATTATAGTTTCTGAAAGAAAGAACGGGAAATTGTCGTTTTGTAAATGAGGATATATCATTAGAACTCCCTTGGGTAGTTACATCGTTGCCATAGCTTCGCTAGTGTCTTATGTAAAGTGCAGTCAGTTTTTCAAAAGTCTCTATTGTTTGGCAAATAAGTTGTAATTTATCTCTAAAGTTTTAGGATAATTTTAACGAGTATTTTTAAACTTTGTTATTAAGCTCTTACGATAGCTTTTTTGACTTGGTTATTATCAGTAATAGGCTATGAATATTGTTGAATTACATTGAAATCATGAGTAGATCTAGGTTAAACCACTTTTGAAAACCTGGAAGTACTGAACGGGCGTTTCTTCCTAGTGTAGGATTCCTTAGTAATTTGCGTTCGCAACCGCGCGACCAGAGATCAAACTCGGGACCTTCACACAGATTAATTATTTGTACGTTGTGTTGGTTATCATATGTCTACTTTTTCCTGGTGTATACAATACGGTAAGTGGTTCACTTGATCATAAACATTTGAAGCTTAGTGTATCTACTTCATTTTAAGAATTTAATTAATAATGCTAAACGTTACACGTTATATACATATATATAACTTGTATTCAGTAAGTATTAGTTACACTGGTTACTAAAATGTAACACATTGTACACACTGAGCATTTCATACATCCCGACCCCTTAGTAAATTTGAATGAGGCGAGAAGAACAGGATTTGCGGTAAAACATGAATTCATTATATATCAATATTTATCATGAGCTACAAACAACCTAGAGTTGCATTGGTAATATTTATGTACCATAATCAATAAAATTTAGTTCGAAGCAACATAAGAAATAAATATAGGAAATAGCATGATTAACGTTATACATATGTTAAAGATGAAGTCATGTAATGAAGTGGCGCTTTCACCTTAACCTTTGTACAAAGAATGCAAGTGTGGTAGACCTCTCGTTGACATGGTCAAATAGTCATATTATTTTAGCTTTTGTCAATTACGTAATCTCTTTGTTGTTGACGTTCAGTAACCATATTAAATTTAATTTTATATCAGCTAGGTGGCTTGATTATTGCTCATTTGTTTTTATTCAATGTCAGTTTTATCATCGTTTACAACTTCAACTCCTCTCCTTTGATGATTTCATCTTTAACAGATGAAATACTTATCCATTTTATGTGGAATATGCTGTTTCTTCTTCTTCTTCTTCATTCGCATGTCATTTTCAAACTAGATTTCATTGATTTCAATTTATAAATATTATCAAGGTAACTTCAGGCCGTGGTAGCCGATAATTAAACTTAAAGTGTGATGAATTCATGTTATGCGGTAGATTTTACTCTTCTCACATTATTTATAGTAGATATTGTTCAATGACTTAATTCATATTTTATATACTGAAAACATTTCCATCTTGAATTCTTTTGAATACGCGCAGACGTTTCCATTTAAAATCTATTAAACAAGATGAATTTATGGATGAAACAAAGGATTTTATTGAACAATTATCAGAAGGTAATTTTAACTATATGCCAGAACCGTATTATTGGATTATATACGATCCATCATTAATGAATGGTGAAGATGGTAATGCAGAGATTTGGTTAAAAATTGAATAACACTATAATTGTCTTCAAATGTTTACTATTGAGAATTTTATCACATGTCTACCTTACATGAGAATAGAATTTAATGTATCTATTCATTAAATTCTGAATTCAGCTTAATTATTTTACCATTCCTCTTTCATTTAATATTCTTTTTTATTGGTTGTCGGTATAAATATAAACATAGTTTCTCTTATCTATTTGTGCACGGGCTCTTCTATTTTTTAACCACCGAAATTTGTGTCTGTTATTATTACTATTATTATTATTAATAATAATAAAAGTGGTCAGTAGTATTCAACAAAAAACGGATCGACTTGTTTTTATGTCATACGATAACTGTTCAAAATCATTCTTAGTAATTATATGTAAGACGATAGACTATTGCAAAAGATTGCTTCATGTTAGCTGTATGTCCTGTTTGATGTCCTGTTTGAATTGGACGGTCTGAGATGGAGCTGTCAACAGTTTTGACTAAACCTTTTCTTAACCACACGGGAAGGGGCTCACGAGCCCGAATGTACAAATTCCTAGAACATTTGTTAATATAACTTTTGCAATAGTCTATCGTGTTAACAACAGTCTACCTAATTCCGTCAGACTGCGAATCCTACAGACGGCTGAAACAATTGCTATTCGGATCAAAAAGCCAGAGCTTTGCATCCAAAAGAAGTATTTTCGGCCACTCCAATTATATGTAAGAATAAGAACAGTCAAACTTACTCTTCAAAACTATGAATAGAACTATAACAGTGGATTTGTTTTTATTCAAATAGAAAGTCAGTTCAGTGTTGTAAAATACTAAGATTAGTTCTTGTAACGAAAGTTAAAGTTGTTTTATCTCAAAAACGATACTAAAGGAAAAGAAAAAAACCTATGAGGTCTTCTCTTGAAACTTCACAAAAACATGTAACTCACAATGCAATTGTATTAGAGTTGTATATGGGGATTACTGAATTTTAAATCAGTGGTTTAAATGTATGTTGTGCTCTCTGAGAAATTTGAAAGTATTGCGTTCAATCGAATGTGTGGTAGTCGGTGACATATTTAATCAAAAGTATGAAAATTGTTCAAACAAAGAGTGTAACAATATAAATTTATCTGAGGATGAAGATTGGATATGTCATAAGTAATTTAGGGAATATGTTATGTATTAAACCTAAGGCTCGTTATACAATTTAATTTAACCCCTTTTAAATTACTTTATTGTATTACTTATGATATGTGAACAGAAAATAGCTTATATGATGTATCAAATTAAACTTGATATATTTCATTCAATGTTATGTATTAACAATCGCATTATGTATGACTATTTGGACAAATGGTTCAAATTGAATAGACAGTAATACCTTATTTTGTTTTGAACACAGTAGAGTTTGGTAGTATTTGAGGAACTTTTGCAATTTACCTTTATATTTGAGAAAACATTTCTGGATTATTTTGATATTCATAATATCTATTTGATGTTTTTAGACAATAAAATGCACTGCTATTGATGTTTTAATTCCAAGATTCTCGAGTTCTACAGGATTAATAGATCTTTTTTATGTAACATAGATGCTCCATGACATTAGTTATGATCTCGTGAGATGACTGTCGAATATAATAGGCATTACAATCTACATATTCTAATCTGTAGACACAGTTCTTTACTTGAAATGTCAAGGTTTTTCTTTGACTCCTATGGAAAAATTTCGTAGATTAATAGTTGTTTTATAGTAAAGTTTAATCCTGTCTAGTTTAAGGAGTCATTCTTGTACTTCTATTCTACCATAGCACTATGCTAGACTTGGAATATACCTGTGGTTTAATTTATTCAAAGTTATCAAATCAGACTTTGGTAATAATTCCTAACTGGTTAGTTAAAGTTGTGACTAAGCTAATTAATTACGTAACATTTTATTAAAATAATTAATTTCTTATTGAGCAAACTTGTTTTTCTTTATTTGGTCATATCGCATGTCCTGAAAAAGATTATCGGTAAATAAATTTAACTAACAATAAGTGGTGTGTTTAACTATATTTAAGGTCAGTTATAGTCTCTGATGAATCAGTTTTATCTACAAGCAAACGTACAATTATTCATATGATTAATAGATAATCTATCTATAAAGTGGTTTATAGAACTTTTAATTTGAAACTATGTTTTAATTATTGAAGGTCAATATCATCTAAGACATTAAACAAAAAAAAACTAGACTTCTGTTAAATCCACTTGTTGTCGTTTTACTTGTATCTTCCCATTGTTTTTTAGGGCTGTAATTGATCAGTCCCTTGTTGGTATATGTGCATCCTTTGCGGATTGTCTCGATACTGCCTTAAATCCCCAAATTTTTAATCAAAGATGGATAGTGGCTAGCAGTGGAATCCAGGACGTGCGTTTTGTCCTATTTGTGACTCGTCAGCTAATTGTAAATGCATCTCCGAGTTGATGTTCACTCCGGGACTCGAACCCAATACCGTTCGCTTCAAACTCTGTCGTGTTATCCACTTAGCTAACGAATCCTGATCGTACACACAGCTGAAGAGTCCCAGGTAGGACGAAACACACGTCCTGGATTCTACTGATAGTCACTATCCGTCTTTGCTTAAATAAACTTCTGTCAGTTTTCATATTTCTAAATTCCTCAGTAATGATCTCTTTTTGATTGAACACAAGATTAAATCCAGAGTCCACTCATCTTCCAATATGTACTTAATTTTATTTAACAATAATTTATTGAAATCTCTAAAAAGATCATATTTAGGTAGGTCCAATAACCGTTGGTTTGTCGTAGTATTGGTGAGTGGTGAAGGCATTCATACCAGTATTTGTCACAAGTAATAAAGTAACTTAAACTAAGTTGCTTACTCTCCAAAGATTGTCGAATCCTATCAGCGAGGTTGGAAATATAACTATGGATGACTACATTTGAATTTGTTGATTATTAGCAAATAATGGAAACATCTTGCATGGTCCTGTTGAGTTGACTGGAAATTTGTGTTTTTTGGGGGAACCTTCAAACTAAAGTACAATTACAAACAGAGATGGATGGTAGTTAGCAGCCGGATTTAGAAAGCGACTTTCGTTTCATTTGGGCTCGTCGCCTAGACGTACCTGCATTCGAGTTGATATCCAGTCTGTGAACTCGAACCCAGAAACTTTCGCTCCAAACCCCGTTGTATCATCCATAAGCTAGCAAGCCAAAAAGTGGCTGATCATTTGCAGTCCTAAACATCAATGGAAAGTTCCAGACAACCATTATATATGAATCAAAATCTCAGTTCATACAATTGCACAAGCCAGTTTCTACCTGGATTCAGTAGCTAGATGGATAGTGTGATGGCATTTGAAGCGAAAGGTGTTGGATTCGAGTACCGAAATGTACAGCAACTCTGGGATGCAGGTACATTCAGCTTAAGAGTCCCTAAAAAAAGAAACGTGCATCCTAGATTGCACTTCGAGGCATGATCCATCTCTTTAAAATGTTTGTGACTTAGTGGCAATGCTCAAGCAATCCACACAGGGTGGTTGTATATAAAAAAAACTGATCTGTGGAAGTCTTAAACAGCAATGGGGAAATTTAAAACAACCATTATATATGAATTTAAATTACAGTGAGATTGCTTTAACTCCAAACTACTGGATTATCCTGTTGTTCATATTTTGACGTCGTTGTTACATGCTCATTCTGTGCGGATTGCTTCAATATAACCATTATGACACAAGTTTATACGATATAAATGGAATGTAGCTAACAGTGGAATCGATAAAGCGCGTTTCGTTTTATTTTAGACATATCAAGTGTATGTGCCCTCATCCCACACTTTATGTTAAATCCGGGACTCGGACCCATCAGCTTTCTCAACAAAATCAAAATACCAATAACAGAATAATTTAATTCATTGCAAATTAAGTTAAAATTCATACCTATGACTCAAGTGAGTGACTATCTGTATCAAGTTGCCATGAGTCAGGTACTAGGTTTGTGCACCGAAATGAACGCTTACTCAAATGTAAGTACATCCAACCTACAAGTTCCAAATGGGACGATACGCGCTTCTTCGAATTCACTGTTGTACACACCATGTATACGCTGAAATCAGATGTGGATTTGAATTTATGTGTATTATTTTGGTATTAGTATTAACAGAATTGTGACAATCAATGAACATCAATTTTGCATACTCTTTTAACTGAAGTTTGTAAGTATGATTTTACTAACAAGTATTATTGTCTATAAGATTTAGATTTTTATTCTTCAGATTAATCAAAAGGAATTCTGTATCCTACTATATATGACTATGAACTAGAATAATTGGAAAAGAAACAACATAAGTAAACAGATATTCAAATATCCTTCTCAATGAAGTATTTCTAGTTTAGATTGTAACCATAAAGTGAATGATTTAAGATTAAGTGTAAAGTTTTGATGAACTAAAATAATTTACTGAATGCATTTGTCAATCAAGATTGTTGAAGACATGTGATTATCATGTGAAAGTAAAAGAAGAAAAAAGTTGAAAGTTCTCTGTGATCAAATTAAAAGTAAAATAATCTTTTTTGTTTGCTAATTTTAATCACTTCTGGTAAGTGTTTTTCTTAACAAGGTTGTTTTCTACGAGATATGGTTGTTGATCTCATACTTAACCCTCCTCCTTTACCTGAACTTGAAACGGGCAGTAACGTTAGGAGAGCTATAGGCAGAGTTAATTTTAGTCACACAATTTCGTGAATTAGTTGAAGTTAGACATTAATATCATTGGATGCCGGCCAGCTCAGTGGTCTAGAGGTTAAGCGTTCTCAAGCGAGACTGATAGGTTCTTGGGTTCGAATCTCGCGAAGTAGAATCATGGATGCGCACTACTGAGGCGCCCCATACTAGGATGAGACGACCGTCCAGTGTTTTCAGGTTTTCCATGGTGGTCTAACTTCATTTGACTCATGATCTTAACTATTAGAATTACTATAATATCGACAAAACCTCTTCTGATACTTACTACATTATTAACCTATAGAATATGTTAGAAGTCAATGTTCTAAAGAATAAAATTTCTCTATTTAATGACTTAGAACGAAACTTTACAACCTAATTGTTCTGTTCATCATTATGTTTAGTTCTCTATCAATTTAAGATAATTTACACTTTGTCAGTGTGACATGATATAGATATCAAAGGAGATATATTATTATTATTATGAGATGCTGGAGAATTGTATACATTTATACACAAGAATAAAACTGTTATGTTCAAGATAATGAAGGTAGTAATCAATAAGTGATCCAAAAATAACAAAAAACTAATAACATTCAACGGTTTAGT